CTGCAGCTCTGGTCCCAGACCTGCACTGCCCAGCACAGCCCGGCTCCATGTCCCTCCTCCACCCGTGCACTGGGGAGAGCCAAGGCTGCGCCAGGTGGCTGATGGCAGCGGTGGTACTGGGAGCGAAGCTGTGTCTAAGTTTGGGGTGGCTGCAGCCCCCTCCCAGTGCCACTGGCATCTGCTGCAAAGCTTTTCCGGTGCTGCGTGGGGCTCTTCTCAGTGGGGGTGGGCTCAGAGCGGGTGCTGAGAGGGGGCTGCACCCACTCCAGACTTCACCGCAGCTCCACTCCCAGCACTGCCGCTGCCGCCAACCACCTGGCACAGTCTTGGCTCTTTCTGGTGCATAGGTGGAGGCAGGACGTGGAGCCAGACTGCACTGGGTAGTGCGGGGCTGAGTAGAGCTGTGGTGAAATGTGGGGTGGCTGTAGCCCCTCCCAGCACTGCTGGTGCCTGTTCCGAGCCCAGCCCTTGATGAGAAGAGCCCTGCCTGCAGCTCACCTGCCCCACGCAAAACTGGGGGGCACATTCCCCTCCAGGGCTGCAAGCAGCGGCAGGAGCCGTCCCCCTCCCCCACGAGCCGTACTTCCATCCCATGCTTCTACCATGCCTGGGCAGCGTCTGCCCCCTCCTTCTCTCACTGCAGGGGCGTTCATCTGCCTCCCTTTTCCCCCACTTCTGACTTACCAGCTTGAGGCAGCTCTCCATGCTGCTGGCTTTGCCCTGTGCTGCACAGTGGCTATGTGTAGCACGGGTATTTATCAGCCAAATTATCAGGCCCATCAGGCCTGTCCCCGACGGGCCTTCACGAGTCGCTACTATGAGGCTAGCTTTCCGTGTCGGTGACTACTCCCTTTTCCGGGCGTGGGTTTTACTGTGGTCGTTCGTCTTCCCGAGTTGCCAACACCGCTCTTGCCTGCCACGACTTGCTGTTACACTAGTGGGGCGGGACTAGTTTATGGGTCCCTCGGTGGCCCGGGTCTGCCTCATCGGTTACACACAGGGCTCCTGCCACCTCCACACCCCGGCCTCACGCGACCTGTGGCCTCCACTTCCCTGTGGCTGCTCAGTGATGGTCCTGCAGGCTTCTATAGTGGCCTTCGTCTTCGCATTTCCCCAAATCCCTTGGGTCACTCCCGCCCTGATGTCGGACCCTTCGCACCAGCCTGTATTGGTGTATTAGCCCTACTACATAGATATCTCACCACTGACCCGTCACCTACACACCATGAGCTACGTGCCTCCTCAAAGGAGTTCTACTGTACCAAGTACCTCGCTGACCCACCACCCTATGCTTGTGCCCGGGAGTAACGCCTCCTGGCTATTTAGTGCTGCTCCCTTTATCCTTCAGTCAGCGTCCTCTACTCTCAGCGGCGATCCCGCCCCGATCTCTCTCTTCCGCCAGGTGATCCTTCGGCTTCTCGCCCCTCTTCAGCGATTCCCGCACCCATCGCCTTGGCAGTTACTTCTGGGTGCTCTGGATCCTCTGGGGTGGTCTCAATCTTCCTTAGCTCACCCGAGCCGGCACTTCGGTCTCTATCCACCGGCGATCCAGTCGTCGCTCCCTCTCTCTGGGCCACCGTCCTTTCTGGCACGCTGGCTCTTCATCGTCCTTTCTGTGGGGCTAGCGTCGTGGGCGGCTCGGACCGTCATTTGTTCCCCTCGCTATCCACCGCCTCCAGAGTGGCGGCCGCCATTTTTAAATCTGCTGGCCGGCGTCTGACGTCATCCTCAGCTGCCGGCTGCAGCTGCACATAGATGCAGCTAACAAGCCGCGCGGGCTCTCCCTCCATCGCGGCGTCTCTCTTGTCCTACCTTCCAAGTAAGTTTTCCCGGCTTCCTTGGGCCCCGGAACAAGGCCAATATCCAATACAGCAAATTTTCTTTTTATTGGTACTGAACTGATATAGTTTCATAGTTTCATAGATTTAGGGTCGGAAGGGACCTAGTAGATCTTCTAGCCCGACCCCCCGCCAGGGTGGGAGAACAACAAAACCCCAAAACAAAAACGGGACTCAAATGAGTCCAGCCAGGTAGGCATCCAGTCTCTTCTTAAAGACCCCCAGGGTAGGGGCCAGCACCACTTCCCTTGGAAGTTGGTTCCAGCTCCTAGCCGCCCTAACTGTGAAGTAGTTTTTGCGGATGTCCAATCTATACCTCCTCTCCATCAACTTGTGCCCATTACTCCTTGTTATGCCAGCGGGCGCTAGGGGAAACAGCGTCTCCCCCAAACCCTTCTGGTCCCCCCTAGTGAGTTTATAGACGGTCACCAGGTCCCCCCTCAGCCTTCTCTTGTGGAGGCTGAATAGGTTCAGGTCCCGCAGTCTCTCACTGTAGGGTCTGCCCTGTTGTCCCCGGATCATGCGGGTGGCCCTCCTCTGGACCCTCTCCATGTTGTCCACATCCCTCTTGAAATGGGGCGCACAGAACTGGACACAATACTCCAGCTGTGGCCTGACCAGCGTCACGTAGAGGGGGAGGATTGCCTCCTTGGCTCTACTCGAGATGCAGACTGATGTATCAGGGACTAACAGCAACTAAAATGAAACCAGTTTTTGGATAACATACAGATAGATGGCTATGGAATATCTACATAGCTATTTGTATGCTACATAAAAAGAATATTCCTATATTTTAAAGTAATTTATGACATTTCTGTAAGATAGGAGCCTCTCTTTAGTCTTCCTTCTCTCTCTTTTTTTTTCCTCCTCTCTCATCTGATTTCCAGGCTTTTGGGAAAATAGATTTTAAATCTAAACTTTCTTGCAGGCTCAGCAAAATCAGAACTTAGCTGTGTAATAAGCTTACCTACAGTAATCTACGTTACCTACAATATGTGAATTACATGGTTGCAAATTAATATTGAGGTGATGCTTCAGTCTGAAGATTTGCTGCTATTGTAAAATGTACATGACTTCCAGTGCTCACTTGTAGGACACGGATAACTAGGGATCCAGTTTTCGATTCAGTAGCAAAAATGTAGTTACTAGATAACTAAGTTTTCTTTGTGTTTTGCTCTAAATATATTTTCCAGGTATAGGTGAAAGCAATGGATAATGATTTCACTCCTGCACTCACATCTCCATACCTCACTGAAAGCTTAGAGCTGGCTATGGAAGTGGAAATGGAAAACTCCAGGCCTCCTTATTTTTCCTGTGCTTTAGATAGCCAAAATGGAGGGAGACACTTCTCTGGAGAGTCTTATCTAGCAACTGGGTCTCTTAAGAGGTAAGTTTATATTATAGTTAATATAATGTATGTTATGTTCTTAGAATGTTTCAAATTTTTCTTTCTGTAGCTGTTGGTTCTTCGGAGATACAGTTTTTTATCTTTGAATCTGTTTTCTCCTTTAAGCATTTGCAACCCTCAAATTAGCCTTTCACTAGTGGTCAGAGAAACTAACGCTGCCACCAGTCCAGCAAAGACATGGTATTTATTTGTTACATTTACATGTCACTCATCCAGCAAAGGGTCGTAAGAGATCAATACAACATATACAAACAAATAGAATAGAATATAAAACAAAACCTCCTTAGCATTGCATGCTAAATGTCCAAATAGGAAGGTCTTACAGCATTTCTGGAAGATGTCCAGACTGAGATTCTGATAGGCCTCATAGGGGCGAAAGTTCCAAAGCTGAGGATCTACTGAGATTGACATCCTATGTTTTTCCCCCCAAGCAAACTTAGTGCACTGATGGTACTAGCAGGGATTTGTCTGGGTAGCAGAGGGCAGGGCATCCCATTTCTGCTGCAGTCCCAGAAGCTGCGTGTGGCAGCAGGCAGCGGGGAACGTAGCTGGCTCCATGTGGAGCTTCCCCCTGGTGGCGTGGGAGTGCTGGGCAGGGTGGGTAAAAATCAGTGATTTTTGTTTTGTTTTGTTTTGTTTTAATTGTATAAAAAAAAAATCATTTTTTTTATTGGATTTTTTGATTCGATCATCTATTTTTTATTTCTTTGTTAAGATTTTTTTTAAAAAACAAACCTATATGTAGTTTTAATTTAAAATATGTTAAAGCCCAAAGATATAAATCTTATTCTATGATGATAACTTCTAATTATATACTATTTTAGATAATATCTTCATGTGGCTTTATAACACTTTTCTAAAAAGGTTACAACAGGCCATGGATTATATTAGGGGCCCAATTTTATGGGGTTCCCAGAGGCTCCTCTATAGGTTAGTAAAGATTAAAGAAAAACACTCTTCCCAATGGGACTCAGTGCTCAGTCTAGAAGATCCTGTTAAGCATCTCAGTAATGCTTAGTTTCAGTTCTCGAACTGTGGATTTGTCTCTCCTGAGAGATTGTCTTTGTTAATAGCAGTATATGGAGATGAGCAGTAACTGACCTGATTACCTACCCATCAGCCCTCTTGTTTCTCTGCAAGTTTGTGTATGTAGTCTCAAGCCCTTACCTTTCTCTAAAAGTGCAAAGTTTCAAGAAGTTAAGTGCACTTCTTATAGAAAAGAATGATGAAATCAAGGCTTCCTGACCAGTGATTTAAATCATGATTTAAAACTATTTGATTCAAGTCAAATCCACCCTGAAGTTGTTGGGAGCCCTGTGTGATAGAGGTGGGTCTGCCTGGCTCCATTCCTTGCCTGGAACTGGGTTGAGCTGTGTGCTGCTGGGCAGCAGTACCTGTATGAGCCATGAGAACTCCCAAGGGCCAGCTGCTGGCTCCTGCTGCTGCTGGTGGTAGGGGTATGCTCCAAGGCAGAGGAAATATGCAGGCAGGATCCCCATGCCCCCTACCCTTCCTCACACCCCACAAATCCCACACATTGCCCCCACTACCCCCCACACGTACACGGACCATGTACACAGACCATGCCAACATACCCTACACCCCCCCACATACACAGCCACAGTTCCCCGCCACACAATATACAAGAGTAAGGCTTTATTTTTGAGTTACTATGCAATCACGTCTATATACAGTACACCAGTGTGCCGTGACACAAAAGTGTGCCGTCAGAAATAACTGGTGTGCCGTGGAATTTTGCCATGGCAATGATCTACAATGAACTACAATAGGTATGAGGATGGGGAATGCCTTAACAGGTGTGCCGTGGAAAAAATTTATTCATGTAAGTGTGCCTTGGGCTAGAAAAGGTTGGAAAACACTGCACTACACAAACACAAATCAGGACAAAATATTTCTTGAAATAAAATTAATATATGTTATAGTAGATGTTTGCCTTTTAGTACAGGCATACCTCGGAGATATTGCGGGTTCGGTTCCAGACCACCGCAATAAAGCGAATATCGCAATTAAGCAAGTCACACGAATTTTTTGGTTTCCCAGTGCATATAAAAGTTATGTTTACACTATACTGTAGTCTATTAAGTGTGCAATAGCATTATGTCTAAAAAAACAATGTACATACCTTAATTAAAAAATACTTTATTGCTAAAAAATGCTAACCATCATCTGAGCCTTCAGCGAGTCGTAATCTTTTTGCTGGTGGAGGGTCTTGCCTTGATGTTGATGGCTGCTGACTGATCAGGGTGGTGGTTGCTGAAGGTTGGGGTGGCTGTGGCAATTTCTTAAAATAAGACAACAATGAAGGTTGCCACAAACCTTCAATTTGTAAAAAACGCAGTATCTGCGAAGCGCAATAAAGCGAAGTGCAATAAAACGAGGTATGCCTGTATATGATTTGTTTGTTTTTTTGGTTCCAAGATGGAACACCCCCCGCTCCCCTCTTAAGAGGAGAACTTCCAGGGCAAGAGGAGGGACTTCCTGTGGCAAAATTCAGGAGTTAGCTTGTGGGACTTCTGGCCCTAAGATAGCAGCCAGGAGGCCTGGCACCTGTCAAGGGGCAGGGCTACCCTTGCATCCCTCAGCAGCTCACCAAAACTCATTAAGTGGCCCTCCAGCCAAAATAATTGCCCACTCCGGTCTTGAGCACTTGTGGCCAACCTGGGGCACATATACCACAAGTGGTAGAGACAACCGTGGGAGCAAATATGGGCAGTGCAGGGCGGGACCCAGGCAGCACTGAGGCAGAAAGGGCTGCAAAGGAGCCCCGTGCACATGCACAGTAGGTCGGTGCATGCACGTGGGATGCAGTAAGCCGGCACATGTGGCATGTTGGGGATGGGACAGAACAGTGGCAGATAGGGAAGCAGAAATCAGAGCAACAGGTTTAGCAGGGGAAGCAGGTTAAAGTGGCACTTGGGGAGAGTGTGGAGCTAGTTTGTGGCACACCTGCCAAAACGTTTGGCCCCCACTGGTCCAGAGTTAGTTATTTATAAAATGTCACAAACTGTGGATAGATTAATTTCAGCTGCTGAAGTCCTTCATCTTATATCAGTGTTCAAGGTATTCCTTATAAGGGCTAGTAAGTGACCACAGAAGAATAAATGCTCATCCTGTAGCTGGTTATTAGGCATGCTATACCTATTGGGTGAATGCTTTTTTCAACAGTGACATACATTTTCAGTGGAGAGCTTTAGTTAATGTAGCAGCCACTCTTGTCATATAAAGAACAAGCTGTGTTTCATGCCTCAAATAGGCCCCACTGTAAGGATAAAGATGCTTTAGGAAAGGTAGGCTGCTAGTTTTTGTTTATTTCTAAAATTTATTGTAGCTTGTGACAAGGAGTTGTTTTTATACTGTTGGAGCTAGGAGCTGACACATTTTATATACTAGATATTATATTGCTACAAAAGGTTTAACCGCCTTTCTTTGGTGGACGGTCTAGAACTTTGTGTCTCCACTATGTGCGCGACTGATACACTAATAAAATAATGCTGATGCATGAGTCAGCCATAGGTATTGTTTGTATACCAGAAGATCCTGTGAATAGTAATGACCATTTTTTCAGGCTTCTCCTGAGACTAGATCCTTCTCCAACTGACTATGAAGAAGATACTGTGGAAATATTTGGCTTTCAATGGGTCACTGAAACTGCGTTAGTTGAATCCTGCCGACTTCTATTTGGCTTACTGAGGTATGATATTTTTGTGTGCTTTTATCTCTGACCTGTTTCAGTGATTTAACTATGCACTATATGATGAAGTAACTGTTTGTTAAACTTCTGTGTTTTATAATTATGAGCTTGTTAACAACTATGTACAATACAGAGAGTAAAAACCGTGAACAATGTAATTTAATGAGTGGTAGGTGACTTGCTGCTAGAGTAACTTGAGTTGATTTAACTATGTAGTAGTGAATTATGCATTGTAGAACTGTAGGATAGTGTGACTTAATGTTGAGTTTCTTAGTGGTATGGTGTGCATCTTTTAAATGCACCAGACTTGGAATAAAAAAGGAGTACATTTGTTAAAATACTACAATCAATTCACAACATACAGTAATACATATTTAGCTTTAAAGTACATCTCAAAAATGCATCAGGTTTTGCTTTTAATGAAGTAATGTTACCCATATAGTTTAAATATTATCTGAAGTTTCTTTTTCAAGCTTTTTTGTGTGAATAGAAAAGTGGATGTCATAAATCAAATACTGTTAAGTGCTGGATGTACCGTGTTCTTTAGTTGTTTGGATTAGGGTAGCTTCAGCAATCTCTTTGGATACAGCTACTCTGTGTTTGACTAATTCAGTGTAGCTGCTTAATCTGGTCAGTGCAAATACACAAATCACTGATAATCCTCTTTGCTACTGTTAATCCTTAGGATGTACAGCACATATGGAGGGTGGATAAGGGGGGCTTTTATATAGCGCTTCAAACATATGTTGTATATCCCAACACTCCGTTGATTACAGTGGCTTCTATGGTACCTTGAGGCTATAGCCATAAGCATGTTATGGAAAGTACTTTTAATAAAGTCTAGTGTTTAGACCATGATGGCATAGGTCCTGAAAAGACAAAAAATGAGTTCTTTTAAAACAAACAGACAAACAGTTTGTATGAGAGAACTTTTTATTCCTTTCTACTGGAAGATAATAGCTATGAAAGAGATGGAAAGACAGCTTGTTAACCTCTGATCAGCTGAAAAAAAAATCTATTCAATATTCTACTTGCCTTATTCCATAGCTAATGGAATTTCATCACAGAAGTAGGGGTGCACTGATAAAGATTTTTGGGGCTGATACCAATGGCCAATATTTAAGGAGGCATATCAGCTGATACCAATCCAATATCTGATGCAGATGTCTCCAACTGATAAGTCTGGTGTGGTGGAAGGAGAGGGGGGAGGGAAGGGGTGTTAATTAGAGCAGGTCTCGGAGAAGTGGGATTAATGGAGTCTGCTCTGCATTCTAATTAGGACGCTCTGGCATCACCGCAGTGTCAGGTGTGTTAATCCCCTGTGCAC